ACTTGTACTTGCCGGAACCATGACGGAGAAGGACATGAACTTGACACCCCACACTGTGCACAGTTCACCCAAGAGATTCTACCCACTTGCTGCTGGACTGACTTCTGGCCATATACGAGAAGAATTTTGGCAAATTTAGGAGCTTTTTAAAAAAAATAAATTACTCAAAATAACAGATTATCCACTGTGATTTCTAGGAGAAACATGTGCTCCTTAAATTGAAAATTCTGCCCCATTACCTTCCTGAAAGGTGATGGTGGATAGCTACTGACTGGTTCTGTGAATGAGGTAATCTGTGATACAGCAAGGCCTCTGGGGAGGAAATCTTTCAAGTGTTGGAGGGGAATGTTTCTATTTAGAGGGATTTGTATTTAATGGATGACACGTTAGTGTGTCATTAGCATCTGTGGTCGTAGTAGGGCTGCTAAGAGGAATGACAAATGCTCTGTGTGCAAGTTTGTATTTTAATACATTAACATGTCTGTTAAACAAGACTTCTTTAAATTTCATGAAACTAAGAGAACTCTCCAGAGGATTCTGCTTTGTGACATTCAGCTCCCTCTGTAGAACTTTTCAGCTGTCATTTTCTTTGCTTTTTAGTAGACTTTTGCCTTTGTGTTTTCCAGGAAGAAAACAGAATTCTCTAGCAGGCAGTCCGTACGGTGTATTCACTAGGCCAAAAAACTGACCGCAATCCTACATATTTAGAAGAATCGATTGACATATATGCTCTGGACCCCAAATCATGAAATGATCAACTGACATAATCCCCTCATCCCCATTAGAACCTGTTCTTTATATCATAATACTATCTGCCTGTATAGCAATATTTCCCTCCAAGAAACTCAAAGGATTGGTGATGATCATTAATAGCTATAATGTTGTCGGAGATAACGTAGATGTTATTTTTGCCCTTATTTTATATGTAAGGCTCCTGAGGCACAGAAAGCCACATAGCAAGTTTGGATTGTTCAAGGAGTAAAACATGGACATCTTGCTCAACACTAACTACTTCAACCAACATACGTAAAATCATGCTTTAGAGTTAAATGCAGCCTGCTACTACTCTCTATTCTCTTTACTTACATTGCTATTTCTGTTCCAGAGGCCCATTTTTGTGTTTGCCTGGCCACCTGAGAAACCTCTTTTCTAATAAGCAAACAGGATGCGTTTTAGTGCCCCTCGCTGTAGGTGCGCATTATTATTAGCCACTCTTCAGATCCTAGGCTGGTTCTTTTTCCCGTTTCAAATCCTCTGTTTTTATTGGTGATCACTTGCATTTCCTGGTGCCCAGGATGTAACAATACTGTGCTTACTTCTGTCCTTGTGTCTGAAAAAAATCAGTAGAAAGAGTGATTCTTTCAGTGTGTGAGTGTGAGTACATGTGCGTGTTTCAAGACTTCAGAGAAAGGGAATTGCAAAGTGTTTCTGAAGCTTCCAACAGCTGTAGCTTTCCCCCCTCCCCCCGTCCCAGCTTTCATGTGCTCTTTGCAAGTCATCATTTTTTGATGATCAAGGATCCCCATAGAACTGGTGTCATGCGGTATGTAACAAACCAGAATGAACTAGGCAAAAATTCCAGCCATGGACACACATCTAAAAAAATAAATGTGTGGATCACTGGGAGAAGAGCAGCATGCATTCCTCCCTGCCACCCTGGCTCTCCTGTGCAAGATTTTGCCTATTGTCCTAACGGGCCTTAGGAAGCTTGAGATGACTACTCACTTAGTCACCCGCTAGCTGCGTGATCTTGAGCAAGCTACTTGATATCTCTGAGTTTCCATTTTCTCAACTGTAAAATGGAGACAGTATCTCTCTTGTAACAATGTAAGGAATGAAGCTCTATAAAATACAGGGCATGGAGCACATAGCCCAGTACATGCTTTTGAAAATGAGACCTACCCGGGTGCCTGGGTGGCTCAGTGGTTAAGCGTCTGCCTTCGGCTCAGGTCATGATCCCAGGGTCCTGGGATCGAGCCCCACATCGGGCTCCCTGCTCCGCGGGGAGCCTGCTTCTCCCTCTCCCACTCCCCCTGCTTGTGTTCCCTCTCTCGCTGTATCTCTCTGTCAAATAAATAAATAAAATCTTTAAAAAATAAAATAAAATGAGACCTATAAATAAATTAAATAAATACCTACAATAACAATGGAAAGGAGTGTCATGTTCATTAGCTAAGAGAGAATGCTCATTCTTCTGTGAAAAGTGTTCTTAAATACATAAACTTTATTCATGCTCTCACCAATTTCTCTTATATTTCTCCCTCTTTTAGCTCTTTCTAAATCTCCCAAGTACCTGTTATTTATCGAGTCCCTTCCCCCAGAAAATCACACAGAGAAGTTTCAGAGAAAACAAATTGTCACTTATTCCCTTGGGGCACAGAACTATGGGAAAAAGAAATACTTAATATGGAAAAATAAATGGCTGTTGAAATCAGTGGACAGGATTTGGTGAAAGTAAAATCCTCCCGTGCACCCTTTAGATTGCAGAGATGGGCGACAAGCTACTCAGCTCGGAACAGTTTCTGAGCACCTCTCACCATCTGCCCCCTGCTTATCTCGAGAGCCTGAAACTTCACCATCACCACCCTGCTCCCCAGCACCCTGCCCTCTTCCCTCCCTCCAGGATTTGCAGTCCAGGCACACACCGTGCCTCTCACTTCATGTCTTCGCGTTTCCTCTGCCTCAAATGTCTGGCCCTCATCCAGATAATTCGTACTTGCCCTTGAAGACTCAGCTTAGATAACGTTTGCACGGCATCTTCCCGAGGCAACCTTGTTGTTTCAGTCCGGGATGGGGTGGAGGAGTATGATTCACATCACAGTCTCTGGGAATGGCGCCTTGTGGAGATGCCGTGTGCATTCTGCTCAACTGTACCTGGTCTGCCCATACCCTGTCCACCAGCCCACCTCTCCTGTGTCCTCCAGTAGCCTCGTGAGGAAATTTTTTGTCTCTCTGTTTTAATCGTTTACAGGAAGTCTTTCCTCCTAGACCACGTGTTCCTTGAGGAGGAGTATGGGCTCTACTTCCATTTTTCCAATACCTCACAGGCACCCATGTGAGTAGTGGCTCAAGAGGAGAGCTTGAGAGGTGCCTTTTCCAATGACTATTTTTGGTATGCCAGCTTAGTAATAGATGACTCACAGTTCAGTAGGAAACTATGAGAAGTAACAAGGGCTCTAGGATGACAACAGCAGGCTTATAAGAATCAGATACTAGCCAGGAACAATGACGGAGAAAGTTTGGTTTGAGACTCAACTCACACTCCTTTGGCATTCAGATGGAGCCGCCGTCTGTATATCCCAAGTTGAGAAGCCCTTTTCTAAACTCTATCGCTGGCTTCTCACTTCGTTTCGCTCGCTATTTAAAGTTTCAAAGTTTGCTGCACATCACGTCCTTTTTATCAGCTATGGTGCACCTTAGAGCGGACATTTCCTTCAGGAGCCAAGGATAGTGGAGCTTCTATTTAGAGAGTACTTATTATGGGTTGGATGAAGCCCTGCCTATGCCTAGAGTCATGCTGCTTGAAGCCTTTCTAATATTCATTTAGTTAGAACCGTAACCACACTGAGTTATTGCTGGTCTCATATGGATCATATATTCACAGGCAGCTCTTGGCTTTGACAAGAGGATGTGTGTTATCTCTGCTATTGCCCATCGTGTCTTTTCATTTCATTATGAATATTGTGCTTGCAAGCCTGATTTTCAATCTACAATCCCAGTTAAATTCTTTCAGCACAGTCTGTCCATTTAAGTGCATAGTTTTCTTTGAAGCAGACTTTGTTGAGGTCGATATCCATGATCTGCCATCTCTGTCTTCCAGGGCCACCACATTTTGCTCTAACTGGGAAGGAAAAGACAATTTTTAACATGAATGGACTTTGTAAGCTGGCATATATTTTTTACTGGCATCAGGTCAAGTTCTAGAAAGAATTAGAGTTCCGAAGGACAACTTTTTAATGTGAACCAATTAAAGTGTTCTTTCCATCTTCATTGGGTCTGTGGCTCCAAGCTCAATTGTGTCTCTTACACTGCTGCTCTGTTTACTGACAAGTGTCACTACATAAACAGAATTGAAAGGGGCCAGCATAATTTCATCAAGGGAACATCAGGGTGAATTGCTGAAAAGCACAAAACGTGATACCATTTAGATCAACTCGAAAATGAATGCTGCCAGCTGTCTGAAGGGCCCCTTGGGTGATGGTGTCCATGCCTGAGGGTAAGGCCCTTCTTCATGTAAAGCCTCCTAGGAAACTGAGAATTAGGGGCCAACATTCATGAGAGCCGAAGTTAGGAAAAAGTGAGGAAAAGTAAGGAATTACTTGTAAGTCAGAGCCCAGGGAGACCGTTTGAGCAGAGATTTTCCAGTGGTCATGCACACATTTTCAAATACAGGGCTAGAGAAAGCAGAGGGATGTTGAGAACCAACTACTTCATCAGAATCGAGCCAACAAACACTCAGGCTTCAAAGCATGGAAACAAGATAGGAGGCCCTGTGTGAGGCTCTCCTGCTTGAAAGAAGACTTCAGTGTCAGATTTTTAATAGCGAAGAGGTCCTTTTGTGAAGAGGGGAAAGTCTTTTTTAATTACTAATGTTCAGTTTACTTCATGTTCCCCTAGAGCCTATAATCTAGTACTTGTTAATTGGGTATGAATATACATAAATAACCTCTATCCAGGGGAGGAAAGGGAGGATGGTGGTGTCAGGAAGTTTTCAGTAGGGGTGGCAATGAATGATTACGTTTACGATTTTAGTCATCGTGGGTAATTCTAACACCCTTATTATGTTTATCTGAGGATGTGAAGTGACTAAATAAATCTGAACGACAACTGTACTTTATTGATTTTGCAGAGTTAAGAGGAAGATTTATGAGACATGGAACTTTCCATCAGGTTTGGAAGAAAGTAAAGGGAACGCAGAGATGCCAGACCGCCACTAAGACCCATGGACATTCCCGCACTCACACTTCTCTGTCAAACTTTAAGATTTATTAGTAATATGCTGCCTTTGCAAGATGAAAACAAACTAATGCCAAGAAGGCATATTCTTCCATATTTGCAATAGACGTGCGCTCAAGACAATGGCTTCAAAGGTCTCCTGTCTCTATGTTTTGACAGTTGTGTGCTGGGCCAGTGCCCTCTGGTATCTGAGTATAACTCGTCCCACTTCTTCCTACACTGGCTCCAAGCCATTCAGCCACCTAACAGTTGCCAGGAAAAACTTCACCTTTGGCAACATAAGAACTCGACCTATAAACCCACATTCTTTTGAATTTCTTATAAATGAACCCAACAAATGTGAGAAAAACATTCCTTTCCTTGTTATCCTCATCAGCACCACCCACAAAGAATTTGACGCCCGCCAGGCAATCCGAGAGACGTGGGGGGATGAGAACAACTTCAAAGGGATCAAGATAGCCACTCTCTTCCTCCTGGGCAAGAACGCTGATCCTGTTCTGAATCAGATGGTGGAGCAAGAGAGCCAAATCTTCCATGACATTATCGTGGAGGACTTTATCGACTCCTACCATAACCTTACCCTCAAAACACTAATGGGAATGAGATGGGTGGCCACTTTTTGTTCAAAAGCCAAGTACGTCATGAAAACAGACAGTGACATTTTTGTGAACATGGACAACCTTATTTACAAACTACTAAAACCCTCCACCAAGCCAAGAAGAAGGTATTTTACTGGCTATGTCATCAATGGAGGGCCAATCCGGGACGTCCGCAGTAAGTGGTACATGCCCAGGGATTTGTACCCTGACAGTAACTACCCACCGTTCTGTTCGGGGACTGGCTATATCTTTTCAGCTGATGTGGCTGAACTCATTTATAAGACCTCACTCCATACAAGGCTGCTTCACCTTGAAGATGTCTATGTGGGACTGTGTCTTCGAAAACTGGGCATACATCCTTTCCAGAACAGTGGCTTCAATCACTGGAAAATGGCCTACAGTTTGTGTAGATATCGCCGCGTCATCACTGTGCATCAGATCTCTCCAGAAGAAATGCACAGAATCTGGAATGACATGTCAAGCAAGAAACATCTCAGATGTTAGGATTTTTACCGATGTAAATACATTTCTTTTCTTTTTTAAGAAATGGGGCCTAGGGTGTTGGTGTTTTATTGGTGTCACCGGGGGAAATGAACCAGTGTAGGGGTTTTGTAAAAAGCTTTTTTCTTCCTGCTCCTAGTTTCTTTCTTGGACTACCAATTTACAAGTGTTAGGCTCTGGTCATGGAAACAATGCATGAGTTAGAAAGGCCAGATTTCATTCTCAGGTCCTGAGGCATTGTGTTTATCTCAAAAAGCAACATCCTAACTACTGCTAGGATTTACATACTCTGCATCTGAGATAAAAATCTGGTTCTGGGAAACCGAGACTCGAGGTAATGTCTTCATATCATCTCTGCAAAAATAAAAGTAAATAACTCTTTTTCAGAAATAATACACAGTCAGGAAGACACATCCAATGTGATTATTAATATTGTGTGTGCTGTTACATTGAATTTTTACATCTCTTGCCATACATGTGTACAGTATTTGCGGTTCCACCAAGACATGAACTTAGGCCTGGCAGGGAGGCTGCAGCTAAATAAATGGAAATTTAAATTTGAAAAGCAAATATTCTGTATGGTTGGAAGACAACTGTGCTTGCTCATCCAAGGATTAAACCTGGTCATCGGGTGGAATGTATATAAAATGCTACTTAACAAAATAAACAAGAGATTTGACGGCGGGAGGGGGGGGGCGGGGAGGGTCTTTCAGAACAAACATTACCTGGTGCCTCCAAGGAGATTTTGCCAAATGTAATCTCACCTGCTTCCCTCCATACGGTGTTGCTAAGTGCATTTTACCGTTTCTGGCTCAGGAAGGCACATATGTAGAAATTAGTTGGTAGGAGGGCAGAAAAACAATAAATTACACGGAGAAAACACGAATTTATGTATGCATTATAATTAACATAAGCAAGCTTAGCAATAGTATAAGATGCCCCTCCCACACATTTGCAAAGCATGTTAGATAAGCTTTCAATGGGTCCCAATGTTATTGAATGCTTTAGCCCTACAGTTGATAGATGTAATATTCTAACATCTGAAACATCCTAGTACCTCCACCTGCAATGCCGTTAGGAGTAGGAGGTGCTCTGGAAGTTCTGTGACAGAGGTTCATGGGAAGGAAAAGTAGAGAAGCTTGGGATCAGTTTCTCTTGGTACCATTGTTCTTGTTGGGTCATGTGAGCAGGCATCTTAACCTTGCTGTGCTTCAATATGCTCATTTATAAAATGGAGGGAAAAAACACCTACCTCACAGGTGCTGTGAGAGCAAATTGCATTTGCTAAATATTTTGAGGTCCTTAGTTTAAAAGGTGCTAATGCAATGTATCATGCGTTATGCCAAATGCTAAAATAATTAATTACAACGATGGTCATCTGTAGTAGTAATATCATCTTAAATATAAATTCTGCCAACATAAAGATCAAATATGAACTATTAGTGCATCTGATTCTTCTAAAACTTTGACTTTTCCCTGGATACCTTAGGTGTTTGGAGACGCTTCAATTTCTCTATCATTTCCTCTGGTTTCAATGAATAAGTTTTTACTTTGGTGCAATGCCTTGATTTCCCAGGGTGCTGAAAGTGAAGGCAGCTGTCTTTCTTTGGGGAGGAGCCTCTGGCTGGAAGCATATTACAATAATTGAATCACATGCTTTGCAAAATGTATTATATCCCATCAACTTAGATCTCAGGAAACATTGATCTGAATTCTCAATAAGGACTTTGAGAGCCGGTAGAGCTAGTCCCCCTCTATCCGAAGAAGAATTGGCACTCTGCAAACCCACATATTGTACATCTTCTATTCATTAGAAAACTTCTGCTTGTTTTCATTCAAAGACAGCCCTGCAACTGAAAGAATATAACTTTTCTTTTAACCCGACCTTTAGAAGCTCCCCCAGAAGTTGATAGCAAACAAGTAAACAAAATGAACAAATGGAAGTCATGGCCTATTTCTTGACAACACTGGATCTCTTATCCCCAGCCCCAAAGAATGCAATATGAGACAGGTCTTCCTGTCCTTCAGTACATCTTCATCCAACAGTCAGCTGGACATGCCGAGTTTGATTGGAAAACAGCATTAGGTAGCCCGGGGAGAGATGGATCAACACAAGGTGAGCCCCTCTCTAACCCCCAACCCTCAACTGCTGTGGGTTCCGGTCATTGGAAAAGTCTCATGACTTTGTACTTGGTTCACATTTCAGTCACATAGCTGAATCAAGCCTCTGTCTTCTACTACCATTTTGCATTTACCTTATGCTCAGTCAAGCCCCCTTCGTGTCAAGGAATTGCACATTATAAACATCATATATGTACATCTATGAATTGTTTTCTGTGTGTGTGTGTGTGTGTGTATGTACATTATAAATAGAGCCCTAATCTTTAAAAGGAGCAAAAACCGGAGAATCATATGTCTTAAAGAACTATTTCCTAACTTTTTTTATGCTAGGTAGTGCCCATGTAACAAACATGTAAATAGTCATCAAAGACCATATGTATATATTTTAAAGGCATTTTTTTTCTTCTCCCCTGTATGTATAGCTAGAATCTGCTTGTTATGTACATTTTCTTCTGCATGGAGCTTGGTGATGCAAGGCCATTTGTCCAGTGTTTCAATAGCCAAAAGCATGTTTGCCCTTCATTTTTTTGAATGTTCAAAAAAAATGTTTAAGTCAGGTGATCAGGAAAAAAGCTCTGATTTTCTACTTTTCTTAATTTTATGATGCTGGCCAAATTATGGTTTCAATTATTTAAGCCATTTTTAAATGTATTTTAATTTTTCTTATATAAAATAACGTTTCAGACAGTATTGTACCAGGAGTCATTCAAACAATTTTTATAAAAACCTTCTGACTGTCCCCCTACCTGTTTTGTTCATTATGCATTGGATAACAAAAGGTATCAATATTGAGTGTCTGTATTCTTAAGAATTTCTTTTTTAAATTTATTTTTGGAAAAAAAAAAGTTTTATCTTTGCTGGCTAGTTTGTGTGGCTTTGGGTCTTCTTATGTTGGACCAAATGCCAGTTTCAGCATATAATATCGTATCTTTAAATAACCAGAATCAAAATTTGAAGATCATTTTTGATTTGGATTAAATTCAGAAGAACAAAACCCCTTTGTGTAATGATATGGGGGAAACAAACTCTTGACAGAGAAGCTAAGGAAGGAGTTTTTCAATCAAATCTCTTCTATCAAAAGACAATGGAACATTTACATAAAGCTTCTGGGATCCATTTTCTACCTTTCCTAATATGTGGGTTTAGTGGGGGAATTGATTATGTCATTTCTTCTGTAAAGGTGAGGATAGTTTTTCTAAGCAACAAAGTAACTCGTGAATGAAAGAAGTAATTTACTAGAAACGCTTGTTGATGATAATTGACACTTAGGTATATCGTTATATATGAATGATTGTTTATTTATGTATTTATTTGTCAGAATTGTACATACTATTTCGCCAAACGTAATTGTCTGTAAAAGTGCACTCTCCAGGTTTGTAGTACTATTTAGGGTTACATGGGTTGCCGATCAAGCTGCTAATCAGAATACTATTTTTTGTATCAATGTTATAAAACTGAAAAATGACAAATAGATGCTGAAGATGTCTTTACATTCAGTTTCTTCACCTTCTTCTTGAAATGTAAACTGTTGATTGAAGCACGATGCCAATGTATACGTCCATCTGTCATGAGGAAGATTATGGTTCCATAAAGCTGATTTTTTTAAACCATTGGGACAAATAAACAGAAGAAGAACATATTTTCCACTTTGCTTCTTTTCTGAAAGAATCTCTTTGGTGAGTTGTGATCATTAAAATTAGCCGACACCCTGTTGTTTATCATTAATCTTCTCTTCAACCTCAATATAGGTCATAGCTCACATCATTCAGAGCTCATCCCAAGAGCCCACTGCAGCATAACAGTCAACTTAGAGACGGTTTGCTCCTTAGATCATGGACTGCTCCAGGGTTTAGGAAACTGGTGTCTCCCTTGCCCCTTTGTAGCCTCAGGAAAGTCTCTGTGTTAAATTCTATGGGTTGAACATGTCAACAAATTCCAATTCAGAGAGCACTATATTGATAACATGAGTGGTGAATTAGGACATATTACATACAAGGCAAAACTGTCATTCTTATGCATCACCCACATACATCCTTTGGAATATTGCATACTATTTTAAAAGTTTGCTCAGACTGGAAAAATGCTATTCAGGCATCCTTTACAGCAGACAAATAGGGGATGCTTGCTGATGCCTGACTTTGTAAGCAAGAGACTAATAGCTCTTTAAGAGACAAAAGTTCCTATTATTATCAACCCTGAATTAGCTTAAATAGGTCTTTACTTTTTAATGGAAATCTAACTGGATTTACTACCGCTGTACCTCAGAGTTCAAAACGTTAAGTCCATCAGGTGAGCTGAAATACATGAGTTAACAATGAAAACATAAAATATATAGATTTGTATTCCGTGTGACTCTTCTAAAGGACCAACATCAAAGGCAATGTTGTAAAGGCATGGTCTTATACCAGCAGCATCAGCACCAAGTGGGAACTGGTTAGAAATGCAAATTCTTGGAACCTACCAGAAACTTAGGGGTGTGGCTCTGCAATCTATTTTAACAAGCTTGTTAGGTGATTCTCGGTTACACTAAAGTTGAGAATGCTGCTCAGGGGCTGGCAAACGACCCTCTGTGAACCGCTTCTGGCCTGCTGCTCCCAGGTTGAGAGTGGTTTCAGGATGAACATTTGCAAAGATTCGATGAGGGGACACACTAATATTGAACCCCAATTAAGCGACATGTTTTCCCAACGGTAAGAATTCTACTCTTCTCGGGGCGCCTGGGTGGTTCTGTCAGTTAAGCGTCTGCCTTGGGCTCAGGTCATGATCCCCAGGTCCTGGGATGGAGCCCTGAATGGGCCTCCTTGCTCAGCGGAGAGCCTGCTTCTCCTTCTTCCTCTCCTCCTCTGCCCTGTTTGTGCTCTCTCTCACTCTATCTAAACAAAATCTTTTTTTAAAAATTATCTTCTCAGTAGATGTGTATTGCCAAAAAAAGTCCTTAATTATTATTTTATTATATTTTAATTTCATTAAT